GGTTGATTCTATTTGGGGTCCTCTGTATTTCTTGGGACTGAATCTTTGAGTGCCTCTCCAGGTTTGGAAAATTTTCTTGTAAGATTTCATGGAATAGATTATCAATGCCCTTATGAGTCTCTTCACCTTCTGGGATGCCTATTATCCGGATGTTTGGACGTTTGATGGTATCTAGTACTTCTCGCATATTATTCTCAAATTTTTGGGCCATTTTCTCAGTCTTCGCGGTGGATTTTTCTAGGCCAACCATTTTCTCTTCTACATTAGAGATTCTATTTTCTGTATGATCTAGTCTGCTTTTAATACTTTCAAGGGAGATTTTGACTTCTTGTATTATAGCCTTCATCTCTAACAGTTCCATCTGATTCTTTTGTAAAGTGTGAAATTCCTCTTTTAGATCTAGCATGAATTTCCTCACCTCCTGGAACTCTTCAACTCCTTTCTCCTTCCTCTTCAGCAGTTCCTTGTCTCTCTTCTCTTCCATCTCTGTTAGCTTTGCCATTATGAATGTTCTGAATTCTTTATCAGACATTTCCATGATTTCCATTGAACTGTGTGTGGATAAAGAGGAGCTATCCTTTTCCCTTGTGGGAGAGGTATTTTCCTGCTTCCCCATATTTCTTGTGGTCCTGCAGCGATTTCTAGTCATCTGGTGGATGGTCGGTATCTTCCCAAACTTGGAAGTTCAATCACGCGAGTTTTGGATGCTGGAGGCCCAGTTATCAGTGGGACATCTTCCTTTCTCCCCAAATGGCTAGATCACAGGAGCCATGGAGCTGGCTGCCTCTTGAAGAAGGGCTGTTCACGCGAGTTTTGGATGCTGGAGGCCCAGTTATCAGTGGGACATCTTCCTTTCTCCCCAAATGGCTAGATCACCCTAGAGAGAAATATTTTTGACAGTCTCCATGTAATTGATCCCCCTACCCCAGCCTCCCAGTTAGCTAGCGCTGTAGGCATGTGCCACTGTACCTGGCCTGTTTAGGTTGAGTTGGGCCAGGAATCAAACCCAGGCCTCCCAGTGCGCCCTCACAGCTGAGCCTAGATTCCGCTTTTTAATCAGTGAAATTAGGCTGGTTTATGGTGTGGTGAATTTTGTCATATAATGTGTATGTGATCGTAATTGTGTGCACATGCTTGCAAATCCACTTGCGTTTTTTTCTTTGGTAAGTCAATTCTCAGTGGTGGAGGGATAATTTTGCCCCCAAAGAAGCCGGGATGCTAGTAAACATCCTGTAATGCAGAGGGCGGTCCCACAACAAAGAATTATCCGACCTAAAATGTCAGTGTTGCAGGGTCGAGAAACTGTTCTGGAGCATAGATGGGGTTCATGGTACAATGGAGTTAAAGTACAAGTTTAGGGCTGGCCTTGTAGCCTAATGGTTAAGGGAACCAGATTGCACGTGGCCAAATGCGGTTCAAATCCCAGTCCTGGCAGCAAGTACAAGTTTATTTTGATGCAAAAATTTAAAAATCCGTGTAGATTATTTTTTTCTTTTTTAAAATGTATGTCTTCTGGGGCCGGCAGGTGGTGTGGTGATTAAAGATGCTGGATTCCCATATAGCCGACCTCAGTTTGAGTCCTAGACCTCGCCTTCTCACTTTTCCTTTCTCTCTTTCTCTTTCTTCGATCAAATTAAAAAATAATAACAAATGGAATTAAATAAAGAAAGACATCTTTTAAAAAGTTACTTCTTCTGAGAAAGAGAAGTGCATCTCTAACGTGGTCTTCACACTGCAGTCCACCCAGATTTTCAACTGGCCTGGGTCACAGACGCATGGAAGCCCTAGAATGCTCAGAGAGGTTCTAGGAAGTAGACCTTGCCCATGGTGGGTCCGGTTGTTTTACCACTGCCACTATCTGGCCCCAGGTTTTTCATAATACACATTTTCTATGAACTTTTTGAAGACTCCTCTCATATAAGCAAAATAAATTGCTTTGGGTTATTTCTAAAAAAATTTTTACATTAAGAATCCAACTCGAGGGCCAGCAGGCCACATAGTGGTTACACCTCTGGGCTCCCACATGGCCGACTGTGGCTCGAGTCCTGGACCTGGTGGCTTGAAAATCAATCTAGGCATTTGTGCATGCATGCCCAAGATCCCAGGAGGAAAATGGAGAAGGAACTGCAGCATGGTCATCTCCCCAGGGAGTGATTTCTCACTTTCCCTCTCACTGTCTCTGTCTGACTCTGTCTCTAGTGAGCACATGTGCCATAAGGCAAAAGCCTGTACCCCCCAAAAAAAAAAATCTAAAAAAAAAAAAAAAATCCTACTTTTCCCTGCCCTTTTTTTTGTTATTCAGGTGGTTTTTATGTTGTTCAGAGAGATTTTTGCTATAGACCACGCGTGTTCTCCAGAGAGACAGACAGACAGAAAGCAAGAAATCACCCCCCAGGGGTGGGGGGGAGCCATGCTGTAATCCCTTCTTCTCTTTTCTCCTCTCAAGATTTTGGGCACACATATACACATGCCCAGCATGAGTTTTAAGCTGCCGGGCCTGAGACTCAAACCACAGTCATCTATGTGGGGGTCCAGCGATGTAACCATTACGCTATCTGCTAGTCCCAGTTGTTTTTAATGCCAGAGGACAGGTACACCATCAGAAGGAGAAAAGGCACTCCCCAATGGGGCGGGGTCACACTGCAGTCCTGTTTCCTCTGGTCTTCTCTCCCGTCAGGATCCTGAGCATGTGTTCATACGTGCCCAGCACGTTTTTCAAACTGTTGGCCAAAATTTGAATCACAGTCGACCATGTAAGATCCAATTCCCTCTACACAGTGCTTCACTATGCTCTGGGGCCAGCCCATTCAGGTTTTTATTTTTAATTGAAAAATAATTTAGAAACAATGAAGTGCAGAGATTTTTTTTAAATATATTTTATTTAACTTTATTTATTTATTTACTTATTTTTAATTTGACCAGAGAGGGACAGACAGCATGAGAGAGGGAAAGTAAGAAAGCAAGCCAGCATGTCCAAGACTCGAACCACAGTCAGCCATGTGGGAGTCCAGTGCCCTTCACCACCACGCCACCTGCCAGCCCGAAATGCAGAAATCCTAAGTGTATCAGTTGGATCCTGTTGACAGGTGCATACTGCTTATGTAAATCAAATGCTATCAGTATGTGGAATATTTTATCCCCCCACCGTTCCTTCTGGCCTATTCCCAGTCAAGCCCTGATCTGATTCTAAAAGCATCTGCTAGTCCAGTATCCATCACAGTAGACTTGCCAGTCGTCCTACTTCATATAAATGAAATTGTGCAGTATGTACGTGTCCTAGTGCCTGACTTCTCTTACTGTAATGCTTTAAAAAAGTATCCATGTTGGGTTTGATCTTTAATTCTGGATAACATTCCTTTGTATTAATACACTGGTTTGTTAATACATTTTCTTGTTGATAGACATGTGTGCTATTTAGTTTTGGTTAATTGAACAACGGAGCTGTGAACTTTTGTACAGACTTTGCTGACTTATGTTTCCATTTCTTTTGGGTAAATATCTGTGAATGAAATTGTAAGTTTGTATAGCACATATGTATTTAACTCCTTAAGAAGTCAATAACTTTCCAAAATTGGGACCAGCCCTTGTAATCATGCACCGCACTCACCACATGACACACATTTTTTTGTAAGGAATAAAAATTAGACATTGCATATGAAGAGGTTAGCACAGTGCTTGGCACAAGTGAGGGTTTAACTTAGCCGATAATATATTTTACTGTCTGAAACTTTCAGATTTCTCACTCTTAAGCACTTAGGTCTGTATACCCATCCACCTCTTTATGTAGCATCTGGCCTTACCTGCCCCACAGGTAGCTTCAGCTCAGCCTGTCCTGAACTGAACTCTTCCTCCCCTCTCCCCAGACTTGGCCTCTCGCATGCCTCGTCACAGTGAATGCTTTCAGCGGCCCAAGCCTCCCCACTCTTCTCACGTGGCAGATCACCCAGGCCTGTTGATCCCACCCTTTTTTTTTTTTTTTTTTAAAGAGGTTTTTGCTATAAGGCATATGCGCTTGTCAGAAAGTGAGAAGTTGCCCCCCAGGGGGGATGGCCACTCCTCAATCCCTTCTCCTCCATTCTCCTCCATTCTCCTCCATGGGCACTCATACACACACACACACACCCGGCATGCGTTTAAGCCACTACTGGGTCTGGGACTCGAACTGTGGTCGACTGCATGGGAGTCCAGCAATGTAGCTATTACACCAACTGCTGGTCCCAGTCCTACCTTCTTAAAGGCTCTTTCGTGTGTCCATTTCTCCTCTCTCCCCACAGTTGCTGCCCTAGTTCTACCTTCAATATCTGTCTTCAGCGTTACAGCAGCCTTCTGACTGAGGCCTGTACCTTGAGAATTGCCCACCCACACTGCAGTGGAAGGGATCTGTCCATAGTACAAATGTGATCCTGTCATGATCCAACTAGAACATTTTAGTGACTTCCTTCGCAGAAAGCCTCCTGATAGTCCTTCCAAGGTCCTTCATGCTCCTCCTGCATCTCCTGTGCCATCTTCCGTAAGCTTGACTACCTCCTCTGGATTTCTTCCCATCCCTGGTCTTCTGTTCAGAGGCCTTTGCTCATGCTGCTGCTTTGACATGGAATATCCTTCCATCCTTAGCTCGCCCTCTCCATCTCACTATCTCCTTGACCTAGAATATTCCTTTCAGGATTCAGCCAAGATGGTTCTAAACTCTAGGAAGCTCTTCCCTGAGTTCCCCCTCCTGTGGCCTTGGCACTCAGTACTCACCCCTAAGTAATAGCCCTGTCCCTCATGCCCTACCCCTCCCGACCGAGTTCTCAGAGGAGGGAGCACATGTTGTACTGGCATCCCCAACACCTAGAGCAGGTACTCAGCAAATGTTTGAGGAAGTGAATTCTTGTCTTGGCGGTACTAGAGTGTACAGAATCCACTGCTGGACCAGCTGGGGATGGGTGATCAGAGACTGAAGCAAGCGGCATTTGGAATTGCTGAGTTCTTACCCATTTGTCTTGTCATCCTCACAGCCAGATGAAAATTCGCTGGATTTTTCTTCCTGCATGTTACGGCCTGGGATTAAAAATGCCCAGGAACTTGCCTGTGGGGTGTGCCTCTTAAATGTGGACTCCAGGAGTCGGGTAAGTCAGTCACACGCTGATTTTGCCTTCCCCCTGCAGATGGCGAAGTGCTTCCCCCACCTGATGAGGGAACTCCCTCAGTTACCCACTTCACTGCGTGGTGTGTGACCCGAGGTGGGGCATGTCTAAAGCCTGGAAAGCTGGTGGTAGGAGCGAGTCATGTTCTTTCAGAAGGGCCCCTGGGGAGCTGTTGAGGGCAGGAGGAGCGTACCCTTTGCACTGTACCTGCAGCTCCCTGTGCCCAGTGGGGAGGTAAAGTGGAGAGGTTAAACCTGTAAGGATTTATTTGGAGGCAGAAGGCCATGTTCTGGGAATTTTGTTGACCTTATGGTTTCAACGTTATTTCAGAGAGAAGAGAAGCCTGCAGAAGAACATCCTAAAAAAGTATGAACCAGTTACACATTTCCATAGCGTTTCCATCTTAATTTTGAGTGTGGAAGGCAAAGTGGGATGATTCCGTTGCCATCCTGAACTGTTCCAATCACAAACCCTTTGCTGAGTCATTTTTGTTCCCATGATGTTTGATTTAGTCAACTAACCTGTCTGTGTGGGTCCACTTCTGTCTTGTTTGCATGCTCGTATCTCATAATTGGCTTCGGTGTGATGGTTATCTTTTCTCTGTGATGAACAGGGTAACAAAACGAACAACTTCTAGAAGACAGGAAGTTGTAGAGTGACAGAGTGAAATCAGAAAGCTTCCAGTTCAACCATTAACAGACAAAATCAGGGACAGATTCATGGCCTAGTGGTTAATTGAGCCAGATTCCACATGGCTGACCATGCAGTTTGAATCTTGGCCCTGGTGACTTGAAAAACACAGGGGTCACGTGTACATACATGCCTCGAAACCTGACAGGATAGGGGAATGGAGGAGAAGGGATCGCGGTGTGACTGTGCCCTGTCGGGGAGTGCTTCCTCCTCCCTCCCTCTCTCCAGCTGCCAAATGCATGTACCCTCTGGCAGTTTAAAAAATTTTTTAAAATAAAACAAGTTTTAAAAACAGACAAAAACAAATTAGGTTTTAGAGTTTTGTTTCGTGCTTTAGAACAGCTAACCCCAGGGAGTAGGTGAGGTTTGGACCTACTTTTCCTTGGCTCCCTTTAGCTTACGTGTGTTATATGTCAGGAACTCATTCTTCTGTGTTTAATGTCTATTTATTTATCTGTTTTAATTTATATTTTTTAAATAAGTTTTTGCCTTAGGGAACTTGCCAGAGAGAGAGAGACAGTGAGCGGGAAAGTGAGAAATCACCCCCTCCCCCAAAGGGAAGATGGCCACACTGCAATCCCTTCTCCATTCTCCTACCAGGATCTTGGGCATGCACACACATGCACCTGGTGTGATTTTCAAGCCATCGGGCCTGGAACTCGAACCACAGTTGACCATGTGGGAGTCCAGCGACACATAGCCACTACACCATCTGTTGATCCCAGTCCATTTATTTTTCATGAATGCTGTACTCGTTTGGACTTTGTAGTGCTGGTGATTCAGTTATTAGCTCTACTGGCATCAGACCCTACAAGTTATCTGTTGTTTTCTAACTCTTAGAATTTTTCCTTCATGGTCGACTGTACTCGGCCACAGCAATGTAAGAGATGACATGTTACCTCACGCCAGCCTTAGGGGACGGCTTCAGCACTGTGAGGGGTACACGTTAACCACAAGCCTTGGCTGTTTTAATTCCCCATATCATGATCCCTCTGTCCTTCCCATACCTTTTTTTTTATGAGACAGCTTTTTGCTATAGGGTGTGTGTGCTCGCTAGACAGAGACAGAGGCAGAAAGCAAGAAATCACCCCCCGGGGAGGTGGCCACACCACAATTCCTTCTTCTCCATTCTCCTCTCGGGATTTTGGCCACACACACGTGTGCCTGGGGTGGGCATGAGTTTTAAGCCGCCAGGTCCAGGACTCGAACCACATTTGATGACAGGGAAGTCCAGCGACATAACCATGACACTATCTGCTGGTCCTTCCCTCCCATAACTTCTGACTGCTTTTACTAAGAGAGATTTGACCTTCGTTTGCTGAAACTGAGTTTAATGGTAACAATTTTTATACCTTTAATTAGCAATAAAGTTTTCTCACTTGAATTCCTGTAGCCACCTGCTCAGTTTTTGTGTGCGCACCATTTTGGCCCCAGCCCTGTGACCTGGAGGAGAGGTACACATGTACACGCTACTAAGCTCTTAGATTCAGAAAATGCCTGATTGGCCCCACCTCTGTTTCTTTCCGGCAGGCATTCAACTCAGAGACAGACAGTTTCAAGCTCGCATATGGAGGGCACCAGTACCATGCCAGCTGTGCCAACTTCTGGATCAACTGTGTGGAACCAAAACCTCCTGGCCTCGTCCTGCCTGATTTGCTCTGAAAAGCTCCTCTGTGAAGAACCAACCACCCCATGAGGTGCCAGGGACCAATAAACAGTGCAAGTACTGCAGAGTTCACCCCCATGAATGTGTACGCAGGGTTCTCCAAGAGGTAGGGAAGGGGCGATGTTGCGGAATCCAGTCCTTGCCGTGGGATAGCCTCTGGGCCTTCATCCCCATTGCCAGTCTGTGGGATTGTGGGCCAAACTGCCCTCCCCAAATGCATGTGGCACCAGAAGTTGTCTCACTTAGCCCTAGCTCTCTTAAGATATTTTAAAATATGGACCACAATTTTCTCTATGTAAGGAATAATTTGCTGCTGCAATATTGAAACTGTGAAGAATTGACATTTGAAGAAAAATAAATTATTAGGGGTAGGACTGCAATTGGCAAGATTGTTTCAAGCTTATTTATATCTTATTCATGCTTATTTATATCTAGAATACTTACTGTCCTGTGAAGTAGAATGCATTTATCCACGTTTGATTCGTTAAAATCTGAAGTGAATAAAAGTGGGTCATTGTGATTGAACTGATGCTCTTTTTACCAAAACAGAAAAATCTGCTGTCTTGCCTGGACAGTGGCAGGAAGGTGAGGGCAGATTTTACCAACCTCGCTGTCACAGCTGAACGAGTTCTCTACGCTTTCCTTCATTTCTAAACAGCCAGCTAGCAAGAATTCTCCCTAAAACATGGCTGGGCACTTTGAAGTGGAGGAAATGTTCATTTTGACAGAGACCCAAATCCTGCATATCAGGATATCCTTCCACTTAGGAGCCTTCGTTGAAAACCTGTGCTGGCTTACAAAGACTGAAGATGGTACTTTTTTCAGACCACAAGTTTGGAAAGACAGCAGAATGAAATCTCTTTGCAGTGACCTCTCTAGATTTCCAAAGCTGACTGCATAGAGGCCAGCACTGCCTGACTGCAGTATCTCCAAGAGACACCTGTAAGTGAATTCAGGGTGACATGGTGAAGTTGCCAGCCTAGTGAGGAGAACAGGAAGATATATTCTCGGTAGAGATATATGACTTAGAAGCAGTGGAAGGAAATTGTTCAGAAATAGCACTGAATTTTAGAAGGAAAAGGCTCATGCTTTCTGATATAGGGCTTTTTTCTTTTTTTTTTTTTTGGCCATTTAAACTGAATGAGTAAAATTGGGTAAAAGGGCCAACCCTGTGGCCTGATAGTTAAGGGAGCCAGATCCCACATGGTTAACCAAATGGTTTGAGTCCCATACCTGGCAGCTTGAGAAACATGCTGGGTTCATGCACAGGCATGTTCAAAATCCCAGCAGGATGGAGAAATGGAGACGGGATTACAGCCAACCATGCCCCGTTAGATGCTTTCTCCCTCCTCCCTCCCTCTGGCACACGAATGTACACTCTGGCAAAATGAAGGAAAAAAAAAAGTAGTTAAGGCTGTTATTCCTAGGAAGAATGATCAATCTAGGACACATTTCTCTAATGGCTGATGATGCGCTTGTGAAGGGATCTTGACCCTTGTAGTGCTTCACTTTGTACAATTTAGGCTCTGCTCTTTAGTTTTTATTAGTAAGCTGAAAAAGTTGGTTTTATCTACATAATTGCTACTTTTTATCTATCTTGTTGCTTCTTACACCTTTTGTATTTTCTCCACAAAAGGTGAAGAGGGGGAAAAAAAGGTAGAGAACACTTTTATGAAACAGCTGTTGAGGCTGTTTTTCCGAATGTGCAGAGTAATGTTGATGAGATGAACCTGTTTTTCTCATTTGCTGCAGATTATACCATCTCCAGCTATTAATGACGGAGACAGCAGTCTCTGCATGTCCCCTGTGGAGCCTCCGCCCTACACAGGGGTAGTGGGGTGTTGTAACACCACCACAGGTGAGCCAGTTTGGGGCAGACTTCTCCCAAGGCCTCTGTGCTCCATCTACTTCATTTGGGCAACATCATTGTTTCAATATGGCACCCGCATTCAAGCAGGCTTCTGATGTGTCTTGGAAAGTCCATAATAAAACCATGATAACAGACTCTGCCTTTACAATAAGGATGTTTCTCTGTTTGACAGAATTGATTTGCTGAAACATTTTTTGGAAATGCTAGATAGACTATTATTTTTTCACAGTGGCCTGTGTCATTTTATTTATTCTATTACTTTTAATTTGCCAGAGGGTATGTTTGCTCACCAGAGAGAGACCTCGAGGTGAGAAAGCAAGCCATCAGGTCTGGAACTCAAACCGCGGTTAGCATGTGGGAGTCAGTGCCTCACCCGCCATGCCACCTGCTGGTCCCATCAGTGACATTTTAAAAAGTGCGTTAATCTGTTAACTAGTTTGTTTTTTCATTCCTAGTCATATTCCAGAATCCTTCATAAAATTTGAGTTAAATCACTGCAATCCTTACCAAGTATGATGGGCTTAGTCACTCCTCATGAGGTGTAAGAGGAAAATTCAGCAGACAGCAACAAAAACCCTTTGTGATAAAAAGTATTCACCACTTTTAATATCTATTTAATACTTGAAATGTTTAGATACTACCGGGATTTGAGAAGGATGGAATAACCATCGCACTGGTTTTATTTATAGACATTTATTGAAATGACTCAACACTGCATTCAGCGTCACCTCAGCTCTTGTGTTAGCAGAGAGCCCAGTGTCCTAGGAAACAGTAACCAAGGTTACGTATTTCCATACTGTGTATTGTGTCAGGCAGCTTCACCCCACTGCTTGAATGGTGATTAATAAGCACTTTTTTTTGGTGTCTTGTTTGCTTTTAAAATTTTATAGCTTAGTGTGTAATACAGTTTTTGTCTGGACATGCTTGAGATAGAAGAGGTGCAGGGTATATTAGAATATTATCCATGCTTTTTCTTGTGGGTAGGTGTTAACGTTCCATGTGGGTTGCATATTTTAAATTACTTGAATATGTTGTGTATATATACATATTTGGGTTTTGATTTTTGGGTTTTCTTGGTCTTATTTAAATTTTCCACTTGTCTGTTTAAATAAGTGTGTTCCTAGCTTTGGAAAGATTATAGGGGCTACACGTTAGAGATATTCAAAACGCTTGCTCTGCACTGGGGACTACTAAGAAAAATTCCTTACCACCTTCAGGTCAAACACCTTCCTTTGTGAACAGCTAATAAACTCTGGCATTTTCAAAGATATTTGCCATTCATACAGGAGCGGTATAGCTTGCTGTAGACCATTCCAGCAAATATCAGAATGCAGGGCAAGATGTGTTTAGCAGGTGTTTTTATAAGTTTAAGTTACTTAGCATTTCTTTGGAAAAGTGTTCACAAAAACAATATTGGGAAAGCCCTCTCCTTGCAAGGTCAGCTGAAAAGAAGCATAAGTAAAACGGCTCTTGAGATGAAAAAGACTTTTCTAATAAAATGTCATTTTAACAAAATTTTTACTCAATTCCATTATTTCCATGTTTATTTGAATGTAGTGTGTTTTTTTAAAAAAAAAAAATAAAAAGCAGTATTCCTGTGTGCCATCTCAGTATTTCGTAGCTCTGGCTGTATTAGCCAGCGAATGCTGTGGGTCCACAGTGAAATGGGTGAATGTGATGGGTGTGTGGTGAGGAATTTGGTCCTGTATTTTAAAAAACAATGCGGCTTTTTCCCTTTGTTTATATTTAATACATAACTGTGTTGACATGTTTAGACTCTACAATGCTAGACCTGTGACGTATTTTCAGGATTTGTTCTGAAATTACCACTTGTTGAGCTCCACAGACAGTAAACACAAGTGCAAATGAATGGCATGCCTTTTCTTTGCAAGAATTCACAAAGCTACTCATCACCAGTATGAAAAGAGGCTGAAGTACTTAGTTAAGTGTGGTACTTAAGTATTAGGCTGGGCCAGCTCCATAGCCTAATGGTTAGGGGAAGCTGGATCTCACATGGCTGACCATGGTTTGAATCCCAGTCCGTCAGCTGGAGCAGCACGCCAGGCTCATGTGTATGTCTAACAAGATCATGACTGGATGGAGAAAAGGATTATAGCATGACCACTCCCCACTGGTGGATGCTTTCTCTCTCTCTCTGTTTCTCGTCTCTCACTGGAGAGCACACATACCCTTTGGCACTTTAAAAAAAGAAAAGTGTTAGGCTTCTCAAGTGCTAGGAACACCCGTAGTTACATCCCAATTGTGATGTTTGCCATGACCCCACAGAAAATTTTCTTTAATTACCAAGAACCTGTCACCAAGAGTTTCCTTATTGTAGAATAATGATTATTTTGGGGTCTTACTCAGAATCTACCAGACTTAAACTTGGCTTCTTGCTAAAGAAACCAGTCTGGTCTTACTGGATTTTTTGTTTTGCTTTGTTTTTGAGAATTATTTAATTCCATTTGTTATTATTTTTTTTAATTTGACTAGAGAGAGAAAGGGAAAGCAAGCCACCAAGTCCAGGACTTGAACCGTGGTTGGCCGTGTGGGAATCCAGCGCCCTTAACCACCACACCACCTGCCGGCCCCGATTTTTTTTTTTTTGATTTTTTTTAAATGTACTGACCTTGCATTTGTTGGTTCCTCTCACTTCCCATAGGAACAACTAATGATTTTTTTTTTTTTTTTTGAGAGTGTTTTGCTAGCGTGTGTTCACTTGCTGGAGAGACAGAGGTGAGAAATCACCCCCATCCCACTCCACCCCCCCAACCCCCCGAGGGCCAGCAATCCCTTCTCCATACTCCTTTTAGGATTTTGGGCACACACACATGCCTACCATGAGTTTCAAGCCACCAGCTCTAGGACTTGAACTGCTGGTCAGCCACGTGGGAGTCCAGCATCTTAACCACTATACTACCTCCTGGCCCCACTATTAATCATTTTATGGTATAAACAAGAAAAGGGAGCTAGCCTTATGACCTGGTGGTTAAGGGAGCCAGATCCCACGTGGTAACTGTGTAGTTCAAAGCTTGAAAAACATGCTGGGCACCTTTGCCTGTGTGCCCAAAATCCTGACAGGATGGAGAAGCAGATAAGGGACTGTCCCCCTTGTGTTTTCTTCCTCTGGCTTGTACTGTCTCTGATGAGCCCTCTGCTTGACATGCATAGATAGATAGATCATAGATATTTTGACTGCCAGAGAATATACGCACTCACCAGAAAAAGCATCCCCCAGTGAAGTGTGGTCATGCCACTGTTCCTTCTCCTCCATTTTTTCTTCTCATCAGGATTTTGGGCATGTTTTTCAAGCTACCAAGGCCAGGATTTGAACCAGTCAGCCATGTGGAATTTGGCTCCCCTAACCACTAGGTCATGGGTCAGCGCCTTCTGACAAAATGTTTAAAAATTTTAAAAAAAGGAAAAAGAAAAAAATGTAAGCTTTAGATGGAAAACCATTGTCACATTCCGAGTAAAATCTGGAAGGTATAATTTGTCTAAATATGTGGCTACTGAAGTATTTATGGTTTTCTTGTCAAAATAGACCAAAAGATCTAGAAAGTTATTCCACGTATAAAGCAACCTACAGCCTATCTGGCAAATGAGGGAAAGCAGTGCAGTAGCAATGGTTGTAACTGCACAGGCAAATGGCCAGGTGGCTCTCCTGTCTGAAAGTGAGGGGCAGCCTGGTCAACTCCTCCTGGAGGCCCAGGACAGTGGGATAGAGAACTCATTAAACGTCTACAACGTCCCTGACGGGTTGTGCTGTACAATTTATTAGGAGCAGTGAACTGGGTGACATTAACAAGGTTAAACAAAGGAAGCCATCATTTCATTTGCTTAATACTTACATTGAAGCATGATTTAGAGCGTTTGTGTGTATGTGAATAGTTAGCAGAGGCACACCTTTTGTTAAAGACCAATTTCGTCGATGGAGGACTTGCTGCTTTGGTGCTCTCCACTTATCAGAAGAAACTGAAAATAGCACCTTTTACCTGAGCATTCACTTCACACTGTTTCCCGTTCAGCACTGCGAATGACTTATCCGCTGCGCTCCAAGATGTGAAATGCTGACGTGATTCAGCTGGAATATCTACTTTTAAGTATTGATCCTGTCACAAGAGCCCTATTTTAGCAGTTATTAGAGAGCAGAGCATCTTTCTTCCATCAACAACAGACATACACACACCCTGAAATTACTAGTAAAAAAATCTAATGTTAAGCAGATATATTTATTAAAAATAATGCTAATATAATCCTGGGGCACATTGATTCCAAAAGGGTCTTTGCAGCAGATTTCATTATAATTACTTAACAGCTAAATAATAAAGGTTTATTTTAACTTACAGAGTTACTAAATAATAGAGGGGAAAGGAAAGAGTAGGGTTAATCCAGTAGAGACTGAAGCTGGTATCAATCGTCCCTAAGCATCTATTTGGTTGGCAGCCTTGGGCAAAGCTTGTCTCTGAAGGGTTAAAGGGCCCAAAGTAATTTTTGCACTGAGCTCCTCCGTACCTGCCATGATGCCAAAAGGCATGGGATTCAGAATAGAGCAGAACCAAACAGTTTACTCAACTGTTCAGATTGTTAAAAGTGATTAAAAGCCCGTTAAAGATTTTCGTAAACACTATTCCAAAATGTTAGTTTTAAAAATGTTACTAGCAATGTATGCATTCCCGTTATGTCCCACCCCTCCCTAGCTCTTAAACTTGAACACCCAGTGTAAAAACACTTGAGGGAAACCAAAAGTCAACCATTTGAAAAGAAAGGTGAAGAGGGGAGCAGACAGTGTGTAGCAGATGCTGGTACCGCTCACGGGGCTGCTGATGCAGGATTTGGTGGCATTAAATCCCCCAGTAAGGCATCAGGTGTCGGGACTCTTTCTCATAAACGTCTGGAACTACGCCGTAAGGTGTCTGTACCATTTTCACCGTTGACTTCCCAAAGAGTTGGCGCTCGTAGTCTATCAGCTGCCTCCAGAAGCCTACGTTGGGCCTGATGACAGGCCTCCGGGCTTTCACCCAGTTGTACGCCTCCAGCAGGCACACATTGTGGAATTTCATCAGGTAAGCGATGCAGAGAGTGGCCGAGCGGCTCACCCCTGCAGCACAGTGCACCAGGGTAGCCCCATGCTTCCTGCTCACACTGTGGATCTTGTCGGCCACGGTGTCAAAGTACAGTCCAATGGGGGCATGAGGCATGTCAGCCAGAGGCACTTTAACATACTCAAATTGGGGCCAGTTGAAATTGGGGATCTCAATGGTAGCATTAACAATGCAGGTGATGCCACGAGCCTGGAGGAGGTGCCGATTGGAGGCTACACTGCCTCTGCCCAGAAAGAGAGAGGAGGTGATTTGAGCAATGCCTCCTACATCTCCCTCAGAAATCATGCGAGGGGCCATGAGAGTCCGCGGTAGTGTGCTGTGACCTCTGGAGCTCATGAAGACACCAGCAATCACACTTGCATCGTTGGGGGCAAGACCAGTGCTATGTTTTCCTCCACCAAGGATTCCAAAATGATGATCTCCTTCCTGCAAAATACAGGTGTCTGTCAGTATTTTAAATGCTATTGATTCATCACGGTCTATCTCTTTGTGAAATGGGAAGGTAAAAGGATTAGAAGTAGTTTTATTTATTTATTACAATTTTTTATTTAACTTTATTTATTTGTTTTTTATTTGACCAGAGATGACACAGTGAGAGTGAGAGAAAGAGAAGGAAAGTGAGAAAGCAAGCCGCCAGGTCCGGGACTCGAACTGCGGTCAGCCATGTGAGAGTCAGCGCCCTCAACCACCACACCACCCGCCAGCCCCTAGAAGTAGTTATTTTCTATAATAAAGTATATTCTCAAGGATGTAGAAGATTATTTTCTACTGATTAAGAGGAAAAGTAGCCTCAGACACCAATATGTAAAAGTCAGTTGAGAATTTAGCTCTCTCGTGATTGTTAAAAGGAAAAAAAAAGAAATGGCAATAGTTATCCTGCTACCCTATTTTCAAAAAAGTCAAAGACAGAAACAAGCTCAGCTGGTTCCTGAACCAGTCTGTCAGGATCTTGCTCTTACTGAGGAGTGGTCCATGGGGATTAGGAAGAAGAAAAATTCTGACCCCCTGCTAGTTATATTTTTTCATACACTTCTTGTCTACGTCCATAGCTATGATGGCTATATTTTCCTAAACTTAGCTCTAGACAAAGAACTTACATACAGAGATATGAAAATGAAACTGCTTTAGCTAATGTACTTAATGAGCTACTATTATGGACAAAAGATACTGAATTGAGTCAGCTGCAGAAAAGCCAGGTCACCGTAGTCGTTTATTATTTTTGGAGAGGTTTTTGCTATAGGGTGCGTGCGCTCACCAGACAGACAGAAGGAGACATAGAGACAGAAAGCGAGAAATCACCCCCCAGGGGGGATGGTCACACCGCAGTCCCTTCTCCTTCATTCTCCTCTCGGGATCTTGGGCACGCACACACACGCGCCCGGCATGAGTTTTAAGCCACCGGGTCCAGGACCTGAACCGCGATCAACTACGTGAGAGTCCAGCGACATAGCCATTACGCTAACTGCTGGTTCCCAGTCGTTTATTACTTTTTGAGATTTTCACTGTAGGGCGCGTGCGCTCGCCAGACAGACAGAGAGAGACATAGAGACAGAAAGCGAGAAATCACCCCCCAGGGGGGATGGTCACGCCGCAATCCCTTCTCCTCCATTCTCCTCTCGGGATCTTGGGCACGCCCGCACACGCGCCCGGCGTGAGATTTAAGCCACCGGGTCCGAGACGCGAACCGCGGTCGACTACGTGGGAGTCCAGCGACATAGCCATTACGCTAACTGCTGGTTCCCATCGTTTATTACTTTTTATAAAGAAATTATTTATTATTTTTTAATTTGACCAGAGAAAGAGAGAGGGAAAGTGAGAAAGCAAGCTGCCAGGTCTGGGACTTGAAGCACAGTCAGCCATATGGGATTCCAACACCTTAACCACCATACCACCTGACAGCCCCAGCCCTTTATTATTTAAAAGGAGCTGTTTCCTGGGCCAGCCCTGTAACCTGTTGATTAAGGGAGCCAGATCCTACATGGCCAACCTATGTTCAAACCTCAGGCCTGGCAGCTTAAGAAACATACCATGTGTCTGCGTGCAAGTGTGTGCATGGACCCAAAGTCCTGACACAATGTGAACACCCCCCGTTGCTTTTTCCTTCTGTTTCTCTGGTGAGCATGAGTGCCCTCTGGCAATTTAAAGATGATGGGGAAAAAAGCTATTTCCTGTCTATTTGTGATATGGGTACACGTCAGAAATCCAATAAGCTTTAGGTAACTGTGCTATGGCATTTCCGTGGAAATAAAATCAGGCAATTGGAAGACCATATCAATAGCTCATTTTATAAATTTAATTAACATTTGACCTGACCTGACCCTGGGTGTGGCTAAATGACAACTTCATTCTTCTCTGCCAATTCTAAGCTCTAAGATGTATCCCACTGGCTTCACTTTAATATCTAAATATCTGTAGTGTCTCATTAGTATAAGGTTTATTAAGAGATATCAATATATATTAGTAACAACAAAAAAGGAACATCTTTTTTTTCTGAAATGTTACATATCAGTTCCTCTCATGGCAAAATCTTTTTTTTTTTTTTGGAGAGGTTTTTGCTATAGGGCGTGTGCATTCTTCCAGCAAGAGAGAGACAGGGAGACAGAAAGCGAGAAATCACCCCCCAGGGGGGATGGCCAGGCCTCCATCCCATCTCCTCCATTCTCCTCTCAGGATCTTGGGCACGCATGCACACGCACCCAGCATGAGTTTAAGCCACCGGGTCCGGGACTCGACCGCAGTCAGCTACATGGGAGTCCAGCAACATTGCCACTATGCCAACTGCTGGTTCCTCATGGCAAAGTCTTAACACTTCAGTCTATACCCTGGAAACCCAGTGCCTAGACAAGAACGTCCCCGATTCCACGCACATGTGGTGCTGAGTCTACTCACTTGCTGAAGAGTCTGGGGTGCGCTGGAGCCGTCGGTCTGGATCCCGAAGTCCTAAGTGAGCAGTGCTGGTTATGGCAGATACAGATCAGATCTGCAGGAAGACAGTGAGACAAGGATATGGCCAATCAGGAAGTTGGAAAGAATTCCCCAAGGGTTTTTACTACTAAATTGAGTTTGAGTGGGATAAATCCAGGAAGTAGATCTGCTAAATATTGCTCAAAGTGCATTTTTAAAGAATACGCAGGAAAAGCTATCAGCCTGTCTCAGCTTTTCATTAATGACACGACCCACAGTAACAAATGTTAAATAGAGCTTCGGCAGTACCAGAGACAACTCTCCTAAAAAGAGACCACAACATATCAGTGAACAGTCCAAGCGGGCAGACTGCAGACGGCGCATCTGGCTGTAAGAGATCCGAAGTGCCCTTCTGTGTCCCCTCAACCCAGCAATGTGAGGGGCTGGGCACATAACCCCACGGGGAGCACAGCGGAGTGGGACGTGGTGACGGCAAGGTGAGCACCATCGACTCTAGCCCCAGGTGGGGGTACAGCCCCAGGTGAGGGAGAAGTCCGAGTTAGCCACTGGCCAGGAGGGATGACACCTGCCATGGCACTGAGGACAGCGTCAAGCACCGCAGGGCTGCAGACGGGACTGCAGCCATGAATGTCAGCCCTGGGTGGTGCTGCTGTTCAGGAGAGCAATCTGAAACCTTTTGTTTCGTTTGGCCATGTTGGCCCTCTTATTCTCTTCATTAAGTGCAATAATATAAGTGTCTGTGCACATCATGAATGTGTTTCCCTCCCACTTGTCTTGTCCCTCTGCCTTTCTCAGGTAACCGTCACACTTAAATATTTATGTTTTTTTATAGCTCTGTGGAGGTATAATTTGTGTACAGGTGAATAAACAACTTGATCAAGTGTACAGCTTGATGCATTATGACAAGGACATATTTAATGTGCCATGACCTCAAAATAAGAAACCTGGGGCTGGGACCAGCAGTTAGCATAATGGCTATGTCTCTGGACTCTCACGTAGTCGACCACAGTTCGAGTCCCAGACCCGGTGGCTTAAACTCACGCCGGGCATGTGTGCATACGTGCCCAAGATCCCGAGAGGAGAATGGAGGAGAAGGGATTGCAGCGTGGCCATCCCCCCTGAGGGGTGATATCCTGCTTTCTGTCTGTCTCTCTCTGTCTGTCTGGCGAGCGCATGCGCCCTATAGCAAAAATCTCTCGCCCGAAAGCAAAAATCTCCCCAAAAAAAAAAAAAAAAAAAAAAACCTGGGGCTGGGGGTCAGCAGGTGGCGTACCAGTTACATCACGGGACTCCCATGTGGCCAACTGCAGTTTGTGTCCTGGACCTGGTAGCCGGGCACATATGCATGTGTGCCCAAGATCCCAGGAGGAGAAATGGGGAAGGGATTGCAGTGTGGCCATCTCCCTGAGGGGTGGCTTTTCCCTTTCCCTCTCTCTGTCTATCTCTGTGTCTCTCTGAAGAGCACATGCACCCTAAGGCAAAAACCTCAAATAAATAAACCTGGGGCCACCAGGTGGTATAGTGGCTAAGGCACTGGACTCCCACATGGCCAACCATAGTTCAAGTCTGGGACCTGGAGGCTTGAAACGCATGTTGGAAATGTGCGTGTGTGCCCAGAATCCCAGTAGGAGAAGGGATGGCAGCGTGGCCATCCCCCTTCAGGGGTGATTTCTCATTTTCTGTCTCCAGCAAGCACAAGTGCCCTGTAACAAAATTCTCTCTAAAATACAGTATTAATAAACCTATTCATCACCCCCCAAATTTCCTCATGCTTTTTTCCCCCCTCTATTGCCGGGGGCATAGGTGCTCTCCAGAGAGCACGCGCCATTCACAGGCTATGATCACACGGCAGTCCCCGCTCCATTTCTCCAGTTTTGGACACACACATGCACACAATGTGTTTTTCAAGCTGCCAGGACCAGGATCTGAACCAAAGTCGGCCATGTGGGACTGGCTCCCTATATACTGCATTTAACTGCCATACTGGGAGCCAGCCCTTCTCATGCTCCTTTATAACTGGTTTCCACTTCCCCGCCCCCAATTTCAAGCAGCCATCGATTTTTCTGCCACTATGGCGTGCACTTTCTACATTTAGATAAATGGGATCTTAAAAGTTTGGTGGCGGGAGGGGGCTTGGCTTTTATTCAGTATTAATTACTTTAATGTTCATCCATGATGTCGGGCATATCAATAGTTCAGTGCTTTTGATTGCTGAGTAGAATTCCATTGTGTAGGTATGCCCCTTGCTTATTCATTTATCTACTGATGAATGTCGGGCTGTTCTAGTTCAAAGCTATTAGGAGGGACCAGCAGATGGCATAGAGGTTACATCATTAGACTCCCACACGACTGACCATGGTTCAAGTCCTGGACTGAGTGGCTTCAAAATCATGCTGAGGACATGTGCATGTGTGCCCAAGATCCTGGGAGGACAAGAGATTGCACTGCGGGATGATTTCTCACTTTTCCTCTCACTGTCTCTCTCCAGCAAGCGCACATGCCCTTAGGCAAAAATCTCTTTTAAAAACAAAACAGTTAGTAAAATTTCTGTGAACATTCATGGACAGGTCTCTATACACAGACATATGCCTTCCTTTCAGTTAAACACCTAGGAGCAAAGGGCTGGGTCCTATGACGTGTATGTTTAATGTTTTTAAATAGTTTTTTAAAAAGAAAACTTTAAAAACCATTATATCATTAAAATGCAATTGTTCTGAAACTCCAGTATGCGTAAAATCACCTGGGCTTGTTAATCAACTTCTGATTCAGCAGTTCTGGAGCAGGGCTCTGAACCTGGCACTCCCCAGGTGATGCTGCCTGTTGGGAAATACACTTAGAACCACTGCCAGAGTGGGCGCTGTGCAGTGCTGCCCAGGTCTCCCTCCTTCAAGGGTGCGGTGCTGACAACTGACAAGTCTCTTCCAGGACTGCCCTTACCTGAAGGAAGACAAGGTTATGAGTATAACCCGTCAGAGAGCTCTCTTTGGGGGTTAATACCTGATGACTGGTTAATGCTTCAGGGGTACATGGAAAGGTTTACAGAGAGGAAGAAGGAAGGCAGTTCCACAAGGAGACTGCATGTGCACAAGTGGGAGAGTCGGATGTCAAATTCTGTACACAGGGCAGGAACTTTCAGGTGAGCATCCTTTCCTACAGCAGAGAATTTCCTGTCACTTCCAAGTCTTTCCCTGGCAGAATCCTTGCAGTTTAAAAAGCACAGTCACTGTGGCAGTAAACACAAAATTAGGCCTTTGGTGCCAGCCAGTGGTAGTTAAGGTGGCTGGATCCAACTTGGCCGACTGCACAGTTCAAGTCCCAGACCTGGCGGCTTGAAAACCATGCCAGGTGCTTGTGTGTGCATGCCCCAAATCCAAAGGGATTGCAGCATGGCCATCTCCCCTGGAGGGTGGGAGGGATGGTTTTCTCACTTTTCCTGTCTGTCTGTCTTTTTCTGTCTATCCCTGGTGAGCACACATGCCTTATAGCAAACTTAAAAAAAAAAAAAAAAAATAGGCCTTCAAACTGCTGGTGATAACTCTCAATGTGGAACCTGGAAGACACTCATCAGATGTCCAAGTAGGTTATCTAGTTGTTGTCTAATTAAAAGGGACCTAGCCTAGAGTCCTCCGAACAAGCATGCTGTCCGGAGAGCCGCTTGCCTTTGTGAGGTGGGGTGTCCAGGCTCACTGGCCCTCCCACCAAGGACAAGTACGACACGGGTGGGCTGGAAGCCTCGCTCACTCCATGCGCTCTCATTCGGGGAGCAGGGATAGGGAATGTGGTACTGCAGGGAAAGGAAAACAGATTGTGAGTCCTCGGGGCAGATCCAAGAGAGACAGACAGGATGCTCCGTCCCTGCTGCTGCTAGTCAGTCTCGTGCCAACAAACCTGCTTCAAACGCCAGAGCTGGTCCAAAGTTTTAGAAAAACAGCCTCTGCCAGAGAGCACTCAGAGGGCACAGATACGGATGCACCCCTGACGAACACTCCTGACCGCCTTTACAGATGAGAATATAAAGCTCACAGAGGGTGAGAGGATTCCACTTGTAGAAGACAATAATAAAACCAGAAGTCAAAGTCACCCAGGCTTCTAGCTCAAGACCATGTGTCCGGGAAGGGGGCTGTGGTTCTCATACCTGCCGTAGAGCACCCTGACCCTGACACCACTAGCAGCCCCTGTGGTACATGAAGGGGTCTTGGTCTGCCATGCAGGGAGGACTGGGTTTACATGCTGCTTATAGAAGAGACCGAGCGGACGGACCAGGCTGCTCCAGTTTCACCTACTGCCCGGAAAGGGCAACAGCTGCCATAGCCTGATCCCACTTACGCGCTCAGAAAACCCTCTGAACCAGAGGGACCACAGCAGAGAGCACTCCCAGGGTAGGCGCAAAAAGGGCCAAAGTTTGGTCTGGTTGTACAGTTAGCAGATCCTGATGGCAAAGAATTAAAACCTCATGGGTATTACATGATAGGTACATAAAAATCAGCTCAGCAAATGTATACCCAGAGACAGAGAAAGGAGATCTGTTAGGAAAGTCGGACTCATATCTATCTGAGACATCAGCCCGCATGGCACTCTGAGTGAACCTGCCACGCCCACTGCAGCACGGCCAGCGCACCGGGCGTCCACTTCGCTGTCCATGGTCTGTCACCCAGCCTTTCCGAGCTGTTCTGGCAGGTGCATTTATTCTTGGAGGGAGAAATGCTTTCTATGTTAGAGGAATGCAGGAGGGGTAGGGCAACAGAAAGGAGGAGCTTTCCTAAACCAACCCTAGAGCGATCGTTTGTTTATTGTTGTTTAGCTGTTAGAGAGGATGCTGGACTCTGAAGAATAAGCACTAAATACGAAGTGTGAAATGATTAAATGCTGAGAGCTAGTGCCTGCCCACTGGACCTGTAATCTCAGCAACGTGTAAGCTCACTCCCACTGACACTCCCTGTGCTGGGCCGCTCCTGGAAAAGTCAGCACCACATCCACACCTGCAGCGGTGTGCACTGACTCACTCACTCTGGTGTCATGGCCTATTTGGAACATTGATGCTAGTGCCCAGAGGGCTTTTTTAAAATTTTTTTAAATAATGACAATCACTAGAATCTGTAAAGAACTGAAATTCTGTCCACTGCTTTTCCTTCTCATGTTGAACAAGCAGAAAATGGCCACAGTGGTGCTAGAGATGATCATAAACTAATCTAAGATTATTTTTAGCTTTAGGAATTTCAAAGGTTCAGGATGCATACTAGAGGCCTATATACTTACTTTTTTTATACTTGAAAAAGTGCAATCACATTTACTCCTTCCATTAAAGCACATGTCTCTTTAGTTCTAAAAACAAAAAACAAAACAAAAAAAAAAAATCTGGGACCAGCAGATGGTGTAATGCTTAGGTTGCCGGTCTCCCACATGGCCAACCACAATTTGAGTCCCAGACCCGGTAGCTTGAAACTCACCAGGTGTGTGCGTGCGTGCCCAAGATCCCAAGAGGAGAATAAAGGAGAAGGGATTGTGGCATGGCCATCCCTCCGGGTGGTGACTTCTCTCTGTCTCTCTGTCTCTCAACAAGCACATATACCCTATAGCAAAAATCTACCTTAAAAAAAAAAAAAGATGAAAAACAAAATCCTACAGGTCACTCTTTATTCTTTGCATGTGTTTGTGTGTGTGTGCTAGAGGGCGCATGCACTCCCAGAGAGGAGAAAGCACTACCCCATCCCATGGGAATGGTCACATAGCAATTCCTTCTCTATTCCTCCCTCCTTTCAGGATTCTGGGCAAGCATGTACACATGCCTGTCTTGTTTTCTTAAACCACTAGGTCAAGAACTCAGACTGAGCAGTCAGTCACATGGATCCAGCTGCCTTAACCACCAGGCCAGAGAGTCAGCCCTTTAAGTCACTTTTTAAAAAACAGAAGCAGGGGCCAGCAGGTGGTATGGTGGATAATGGCGCTGGATTCCCACATGGTCAACCATGGTTCAAGTCCTGGACCTGGTGGCTTGCTTTCTCACTTTCCCTTTCTCTCTCTCTCTTGCTCTCTCGTCAAATAAAGAAAAAACAAACAAACAAACAAACAAACAAAAACAAATGGAAATAAATAATTATTTAAAAAAAAAAAACAGAAGCATTTTAGCCTGTAGTATCATAAATAAATAAATACTGCTTTTCTAATTCATTTCCAGTATTAAATCAGAAATGTGTCCCACTGGCAAAAAAGTTAAAATACACTCCTACAAATAATAAAATCACAATACAGCAACCTTTCATTAAGGAAAAATAACTTTCTGAAAGAACATTAAAATAAAATTCAGACAATATTAAGTTACATTATATTCATATTGAAGGCCAGCAGGTAGTGTGGTGGTTAAGGTGCTAGATTCTCACAGGGCCAACTGCGGATCAAGTCCCAGACCCAGCACCTTGAAGATCATGCCAGGCACATGGTGTGAGTGCCCAAAAGCCCTGGAGAAGAGACTGCAGCGTGGCCATCTCCTCAGGGGGTGTTTTCTCACTTTCCCTCTCTCTGTCTCTGGTGAGTGCACACACCCTAAGGCAAAAAAGGGAAGGAGGGAAAAATGAAAGATATTCTTAAATTGTTCTCAGACACCTGGGAATCTCTACCAGTGTGGCCAAAACAACATCTTCTATTTGGAGGAGGGTCATTTCCTTTTCCCATATTAGTAGATATGATAAGTGTTCTGAGAGAAGGATGAATACAGGCACTCCTCACTCAACCAACCGAGTTCTGTTCCTACTGTCAGACTGTTGATGAACTGGTGAAAGCGCACATTCCTCAATCTGTGAGCATGATACAAATAGTTATTTTACAGGTTAGCTGGGGCATGGCGGTTACGGCGGCTGAATCCCACATGGCTGACTTCACAGTTCGAGTCCCTAACCCAGTGGCTTGAAAAACACACCAGCCGCATGTGCGTGTGTACCCAAAATCTCGAGAGGAACATGGAGGAGAAGGGCTAACAGTATGTTTATCCCTTTGGACTGCTTTCTCAGTTGCCCTCTCTCTGTCTCTCTGTCTCTCTGGCAAGTATGCGCATCTTGTAGCATATTAAAAAGAAAAAAAAAAGGTGATTTAACACCACTGAGTTTTGAAACTGTATTATGCAACAACAGTAAGTAGAACAAGGCCATCCTGTTCCTCGGAGGTTCAGCACTATGCAGAAGAAGCTGGATCCCACATGGCCACCCAGGGTTCCAGTCATGGCCTCGATGTCTTGAAAAACATGCCAAGAGAGATGGAAAATTAGAGGAAAAGGGACTGTGACCAGACCCCTTTGGGCGTGCTTTGTGTCTTTCTCTGTCTCTGTCTCTCACGCATAAAAAAAGAGAAAGGAAAAAAGTAACTAAAACAGAGATAAAAAGGTAACCTAAGACATAACCCTGTGCCAGGATTTTATCATCTTGCAGAGGTGACACGAGGTACACAGTAAAACAAACGAGTTAACAAGAGAGACACTAACATTAGGGAGATCCCATGATGAGTGCAAACAGTGGGTGCCACGCAATGCAAAGAAAAAGCAGGTTGAAGCCAAGTCAGAACAGTCAGTGGTGCGGAAAATCTGCGCTGTTTCTTGGGAGAGGTGTCTTGTAGACTGAACTTTCATTGCTTTTTCTCCGGTCCACTTAAAACATGCTGCCATTCCTG